TGTCTATCCCATACACAGGACCAACTGCATATGAAGACAGTCAGTGTATCTGCAGCCTCTCAAGCAGTAGGTATCAACATTCACAGATGAGGTGAGATTTCGGAACATAAAACAGTTAGAATGAATCAAATCAAGTTTGACAGTTATTCTCTATGAGTGTTGGGCGTCTTTACCTATCTAGAAGGTGACTCTGACAAAAAGGGCGATTGGATGCAGATGTGAAGTGATAGATTTGCAAATTCAGGACAACCTTGCACAATTGATGAGCATTTACAACTCAAAACAGCCGTCGGCCAACAATACAATCATAATTTTCAACATCGACATTGAGGTAGTTCTGTTGTGTGTACCTGATAATTTGGGGACTTCTACAACCGTCATGAAAGTATTTATTCTAATCACTCTTGATTTGTACATTTTCAATGTTTGGTTCTAAACGAATCATCTTTAACAACGTTCCCTTTTATTGATTTAAGCAATTTTGAACTGCATTATTACACATGCATCATTTTGATATTCACTTTTTAGAGTGCCTCATTATTGAGGTGAACTATATACTTCACTTACCCACAATGAAAGGAATACATAATCAATTCAATACTAATACTTACTCAAAATTTCATGAACTACACTTAACTTTTCAGAAATACTGAATTCATTTATTTAAATCTTGCACAATTAGAATTAGTAGAATATAATAAATACTTTAAGGTCTTTAATTAAGAGTTATGTGTTTTATGAAACGAATATGAAAACAAAACTGTATGACGATGAGCTCTCATCAGAAACAAAATGGATAGAGGTAAGAATATTATGTAATATGCAGTGATGTCTTGGGATTTAAAACGTTTAATGTGCATTTTTTTAAAATGTTTTTAACATTCTCTAAGTTGAATTCTCTTTAAGTTTGACAGCAGATGAAAAGCACTCAAGCCAAAGAACCAATAAAAGTTATGAGTTCAGTCCTATGTGAGGTTATGGATAGAGATTATTGAAAAGTTCTATACTAAGATGTAATGTCTATCCAGTACACCTATCTTGTCAATATTCCTTAAGCCATTGTCAGGTGGTAACAAACATTAACTTCAAATCAGTGGGTTGATCAATAAAAATGTGCAGTTATTTGATTTGGTTGCTATGATACATTTAAAATCTAGAATTATTTGGTTTTTTAATAAAAAGTCTGTTGGATTCAGATCCAAAATGAAAAAAGAATAAACAAGAATTCAATAAAAAAATCAAAACAAATTTCTCAATAATAATGATCAAGATTAATAACTAAAAATTGCGGTAGAGATTGCTTTTTCAAGTAAGTTACTAACTCAACGCGTAATTCAAATGTGTGAGTTGAGTGAATTATTTTGCAAATTCACTGTATTTTCTATGTGAGTGCGTATAAAATCTGTTTCAGATGGTGGTTGGAGGTAGTCAACAGAAAACCCTGGACCCGGGTTTCGTGCTACTTGGCACTCGTCAGCAAGGTGTACCTGTAATCTTAAGGGAACTGGTGCTCCCTGGTGGAGTCGATCTCGTGTCACCCAGCTTCACAGTCAGAGACGTTACCACTGAGCTATCCGAGCCGTGACTAACCTCCTGTAGGACTGAGATCGAATCCGCCAGGGAGCACCAGTTCCCTCAAGATTACAGGTACACCTTGCTGACGACTTCCAAGTAGCATGAAACCCGGGTCCAGGGTTTCCTGTTGACTACCTCCAACCACCATCTAAATCTCAATACATAGTGCCCTCAGTGTCAAGTCACCTAGACTGGTGGCCACATTGCAACATGATCGATAGCATTCGATCTGTACTAATAAGGACTAGACAAGCATGACATTGATCACCACCCAATGATCAATCAATTGTGAAAATCTGTTTATTTTCAAGTTTTAATCTTATGATTTTCAAAATTAATAATAATTTAGGGACGGTAGTTTTGAGGTGCATCGTACCTTCTGACTGGTTAGTATAACATGAACCTTGATTTTTAACTATTACATCAACATTTGTTTATTTTTATATTAAGCGATCTGCTTACATTCACGATATAGGAATGAATAGTTGAATATGTAACTGAACAAATGTAGTTCTTGTCACATCATGACATTTTGGATGTTACTTTGATCTCATTCCGTATATGCATCATACCAAATCAAGAGAAATTTGTTTCTAAAAAGTAGTATTGTTATCATTAATATTTCCTCTCATATCAAATTCTTGATACAATGAAACCACTGCGGTAATTCATTAGCTTAAGCACAAATCGAAGTTTCATTTTGATTAAAATTTATACTACTATCAGTAGTATAACAAGTAGAATAAACTTTATTGTTATTTTGTTAATTGAAATAAGGTCTCTACATTATTTAATTACTGTTCATCAATAAGTTGAGTTTGTAACGATAACAAATTGCTTATAGTACTTTACATCATTAATTTACATTGGTTGTAGAAAGCCCAAAAGTTCAATACAAATATGTTACAAATATTATACATCTATAAAGTAGCCTGTACTAATAACCACTTATGGAATGAAATTCGTACCACTCAAATGTTGCAGACGATAAAATATCAGTAAATTATCACGTCAATTCAAAACAATATATACTTCCTACTTCAGTCAACTCTTGAGGAAGATATTCACAGTAACATAATATCATGAGTATTTATTTAAAAGATTAATATTTGAACGAAGAGTGAGAGCACGAAAATTCAAATTCCTGCAACTTCGACCCATGTAACTAGCTCACTCACATAATATAGTCTTCCATCAAACTTTTGATCGAATTTACCCTATCTGACCCATATTTATTCTGATCATATATGCAGATTCAAGTCAACATTCTATATGAGTCATATCGACATTAACAATTTTACTGTAATTTGTTTATCACAATCCTAAGGTCACATGCATTAAACGATGTACTTTGCCCTTAACCTGGCCATTTTTCGGATTATTAATTTGGATATATAATTGTAGAACCTGAAGAGAATTTATCGAAAAGAATATTCTTTGTTCAAATATTAGTCTTTTAATATGATGAGGATCTTTAAACGATTAAAAGACTATTTGCTAACAATTATAAGACATACTGCAAATGTTATGAACGATACACTGTGTCATGAAACGTCAGAAAATTTGAATTTTCTACTCATTAGAACATCACAAATATATTAATTTATTGATAGAAGTAAACGTTTATTTTAAAAGTTTATTCCAAAAGATAATAACCTTTACGCTATTCAATGCATAATACACTGAATATTATTTGATCTTTGATCATAGTAAAACAATTTCAATTCACTAAATGATTCCTTACAAACTTTCTCAATGTAACCAATAATCTTTATTAGGTACGAAAGTAACTATGGAAGTAAAATACTCAGTCAGTATATCTTTATTACATTTATTTTATTTGTTTTTTTAATTGAAATTTCTTTCTTGGATTCGTAACAGTTTATTTACAGTTCCTAATTCTTAAACTTGTTATTAAAAAGTAACTCATGTAGTGATTTTTTGTAATTTTCTATGAAAACTATATGAAACACCTAAAATGTTAGATACCTATTGAAGTAAGGCATCTTCTTTTAGTTACATTCTAGTGAATGAATTACATTGTTCCCACTACATCATCAGTGATTTACTTTAAGAACTAATTCTTGAAGAAACTATCTATATTAAGAAGGTTTTTTATACCTTGTCAATTTGTTCTGGAGGTTACATACCTCATCAAGCATTATTACTTAAAAGAAAAGAAAGTATCCTGCTTAAATTATCAATCAGATTTATACCAGAACGTCTTCATTAAACCGTTTATAATTTAATAAACAATTCTTGAAAACAATCACATTTTTATAATACTGACTAAATAAAATAATAACGATGATGTACACGTATGAAAAATTAGATTTAATGAAGTTTTGAGACATTAGTTTCTAATGTCTAGCAATAGGCATAAAGCGAAAACTTCGACAGACAATTTTAAAAGTAGTCCAAAATATATTTCTACGAATCAGATCTATTATGGAGATTTACAGAATTTGCAGGTAACTTCTGTCATAAATTGACATCAGTATGAGTAGCTTAAAAAATCAGGGAACATTTAATAAACATTTCGTCTCAGTATCACAAACATATTGAATTCGTAAATGTTTAGCGTCAAATTTTACCTTAGTAGCTTTATGGTTAAGCATTCGCCACTATTGTGGTGTGTGCTACTGATATTGATCGATATAAGTAGTATGCATCATCAATCAAAAGTGAAATACCTGAAGGCAGAAGGTTAAGAAGATCAAAGAAAAAAGAACGCAAACGAAGGAACGACGAAGTCAGAGGACATTGTTTGACATTTTGCAAATGAAGAAATTACTTCAGCAAGAAGTTCCGTAATTTTATGTTCAAATACATTTGATTGCCCCCACGTGTGATTGTTCACTACACTATAACTAGAAGTTGTAAGTATAATGAAGAGTGTTATACTAAAATGAAACAGTTATCCAGTGCTTACGGGTTTTTAATGAAATCTTTAACAGTCCCAAATCTTACTAATCTTGACTAACTTATTTGATTGCCAGATAATGAAGTGTCTTTCTTTAAATGCCACAGATATTTTAAACCTTATCAAAGTTCATTTAAACAACTTGTCCCTTTTTTTAAAATGGTTCATTGAAATTACAAATGAACTATTTGTGAATAAACTTAAATTCTTTTTATTTTCTTTATACTCAGTTATGTTTCAATTTTCAGCTATATATTATTACATTGTACATTGTAAAATGTATATATTCTATTTATATTTTATTTCTGGCATACGAATATGTATATTATGAGATGTAGTTACGGTAACCACGTATCATAAATATTGAATACATGAAATAGAACAATACTAGAATTATAGATGTGGGTGTAAATTCAATCGATAATAAATATTATAATAATAAAGCAAGTAATACTACATGTCATATGCTCATCTATTTACATACACATATAAACATAAAAACATACATATGTATACTAATATACGTTTAAGAATTTAATTGAGTCTCACTAATGTTCGATTGTATCTGTATGTGTAAGTATCTTTTTTTTGTACTGATAATCTTCATTGAGTAGTCACTTTTTAACTGAATTATCAAACTAGTACTTTTATCATCGTCTTATTTAACAAACTACTGGTGACTACTGGTGTATTAAAGAAATCGATCAGTCAACAAATCTTCAAGAAGATTAACTATATTAACATTATATTAATAATCTATTACAACAATAACAACAACAACAACAACAAAAAAGAAGGAACAGATGAAACGAGGAAAACGATCAAATAGTGTGGATTATTCAAATGATAAAGATATATTTTTTCAATGTCGTGGAAAAAAACTCGGTATTACTGAAATCACTGATAATGAAACATTTTCACGTTTTTCAGCTGATCAAATTATAAAAAAACATTTAACTAAAAGTCATACAAATATTATTATTAGTTGTTTACAAGATAAAATCAAATTTAATAAAACTTCATCAATTATACCTCATTCAACAAGAAAATATATAGAATATAAAGATATTAAAAATTTCTTTATATTTACAAGTAAACCAGGTGTATTTGTATTATGTAAACATGATTCTATAACAAATAAAAAAACTTATGAAAGTTTTTGTTGTGATGATCCATTGGATTTAGAAAAATTAACACGTTTAGTTAGTTCAGCTAAAAATAATTCTGATTATAGATTATATAAAAGTTATAATACATCAAGATCAACTATTGATATAAATAATGAAATATCAGCTGCTGAATTATTTGAAAGTAGTACAAATTTAAATAATGAATCATTAAGTTATCAAAGTGGATTTTTACGTGATACAGGATCACCTATAACTGAAGCAATAGATCATAATGAAATCATTCCTAATACTTCACCATTTTCTCCATCACATACTTATAATAATTTAACTTCAGTATCAATTAGTGATATGCCAAATGAACATGATACAAATGGTTATATTGAAAATAAATCAAATATTAATATAAATCATAAAAAAGATTTATATAATTCACCAAAAGGAATGATTTCACCTCCAATGAATGATCATTTTCATCCTTTAATTGGTTATCAAACAAATAATAAAATGAAATATAATCAATCAAATTATCATAATAATAATAATGATACGACACCAGTAAATTCACGACGTCAAAGTTTAAAAAATCTATATAGATTAGATAATGAAAATATTTATACTCAAAAAGATGAATTAATTGCAATGTTTGATAATGATTTAACATTTCTTACTTCATCATGTGGTGATGTTGTTGAATCTGAACATGGTTCCAAGTATTTATTTTGTCAATCTGGTTTAGAAAGACTTCAAACTTATGAAGGACCTTTATATGAATCAATAACTGATTAAAATAAAATGAAAATATCTATATAGATATTGATCAAACTATAAACATTTATTCATTTTTAATATGAATAATTAAACAGTAATAAGTTCAATTTATGAAATTTCTTTTTGGTAAGTCAATTAAACAATGTTTACTGATTATAAGACTGTTACATTATGCTTTATGAAACTTATATTCTTGAATACATTTCAATGAAACATTTAAGTTAACTTAAACTGTATTGTCTTTAAACTGATATTCTATAATAATCTCTTCCTGTTTACCTGTTTCTTCTTTTTTTTGTACTTTAAATTATATTAGAGTAATACAATATTGAATAGTCACTTTTTTTTTCTTGTGTACTAACTAATTTCATAAATACATTTTACATGGAAATAAAAGTCAACAATTATTCACTCATATTATTGATCACTAGAGTCATTTGGTTAATATTTAATTTACCAGGATCAATTGATGACTTATAATCAAGGTTTAGATAGTTGGTGGACTATTACATATGTTTTATGAAAACTATAGTAATATTGAATTTTCGACATGTTTCCAGATTACAATAAAAAATAACCATTATATAATGAGCCATATGTTTCATAATTAAAAGGAGCGTCACTAATATTCGTCTAAACGTGTTATATGATATATATAACCAAGTTTGAGTTGACAAACTGAAGATTACAGATTATATGGGTAAATCACTAAAGATTATCTAAGCATAATCCAGTTTAATCAGTACTTAAATTAGAAAACTAACTTAGTACTCATTAGAATTGTTCCATTCGGTAAACCGATCAATTTTACCACAGTAACTATCAATTAAGTGTCTTATGTAATATTCATAATCGGTTCACACTGGAATAAAGTTTTAACTTTTTGTTTCCCCCCCCACTATGTACCAGAATCAAATTAACCATAATATCTCCACATTGTTGCAATAAAAGTATTTTGATCAAAGAGCCGCTTTATTACTTGAAGTCAAGAATGTGGCACAAAAATTCTATTTATATGATAATAACAATGATTTTGGGAGCATTAAGCAAAATTTAAAAACAAACTGATGTGGAAAACAGCCAAACATTGAATAGTGAAGGTTATTGTAGTAACTTGAAGTTATAAAGGCCTCATTCATTCATCAGAACTGTAACATTTTATCGAAAGAAAAAAAACTAGATTTCTTGAGTCTGTCCTAGAAGTTCGATGCAGCAAAAATTAAAGTAAAAAACAAATGGATCGAACATTAACCCGAGAAATCATATATTTATATCAGATAGCAGAATTATTTTTCTCCAGCAGACGTCCAACAGCCATAACATTTACATTTCATAGACTTAATAAAATGGTAAACTTTGTACAGAACATATTGTTGCATAGCACATAGTATGTAACTGAAGTACGATAATTTCATTTCAGCAAATGATTCAATCAAAAGAAAACAACAATCATATATACGCAACTATATTTAGTCGTATACTCAAAACTGTCAAGTTGAATTATCACTTGTTATTAAACTAAATTTGTCAACTGAATTGTTTACTACATTAATCGTTAACCGTTAAGCCATAATAATATATGAGAAGATGGTATTGCATCTCAGGATTCAAGTTTTGTACCGGCCAAAAGTTAATGACATGGTTATATCGAACTCTACTATTATTAAGTAGTCTGAGAGGAAGATTAAAATAAGTTAGATAATAGAGGAAGGCAAATAGTGAGCTGATAAATCATAAGAATTGTTATACAAACGCTGTATATCTAGATAATTGCAAAGGTTTGGCTTTTTAATAGAGTTATGAGTGGCAATCCTGTTCATTTAAGATACAACAGATAAAGAACAGCGTCAAAACTTTCCACAGAATAAAGTATGAGACCTTTACAAAACATTTCATGATGCAGTACAATTCGACGCAACCAAAACTGTACCAGTACTAAGAATAAATTCATATGATAACTTGTTGTTGTGATCAACAAGCAATATAACTATATTACTAAGATCAGTGTCACAACGCGTCAACTGAGAGCTGTTTTGGTACTGAATGAATGAAATGGGAAATGTCAGAAGTATTGTTAAGAAATCATTAATCAAATAGGTTGCCTATTGATAATTTATTATTACGAGAGAATATGCCGCGTAAACGTTATTAAGTAAATAATTGTTATGGTGACCACTGCTGTAAATCAATTGAAAGATTGAAACTACAAAGAAAGCATGTGTTTTCATTTAATAACAATAATTTTTACGGAGTTTCTCATCAATCACTCTGAAAGTATTTGTATTTATCTCTCGGTGCCTAATGGTTTGATTATGAGTCTTTCATTTTTCTTGTAAACAACAGCGCCTGCCTCTTTTTGAAATTAATGCTGATGATACTGCTCATATGAACAATGGAAGCTTCACTATCAAGCCATACAGTTCAGAGACCACATAGCATATTTACTACAAATAGGTTGATCACTTCAGAATAACTCTTAATGAAATCAGTTGCTCAGAAGGTGGATTGATAAAAGCCTGGAACAGGTTTGGAATAATGAGGCTACAAAATATTTTTTCTATAGATGCCTACTGTGCGAATATCCGACGTTGTATGTAATAAACTGAAATTAAAAATGATTTTCTATGTAAACTATTAGAAGAAAATACCACCTACCGTCTTCAAATTATATATCGTTCGCTAAATTCTTCAGAGGTATTAGTTCGTCAGGTTGTGTATGAGTAAAATTGTTTGTAGAACTACTTCGTTCAATGTGATTGTGCTGATCGTTAATATCGTTTATTTTAAGAGGTTAAAAGGGTTTCTAAGAATTAAAAAAGTGATGTTAGAATTCAATTTGAACATTCAGTCAATAAATATTCTTCATATTCTTAGAATTCACTTTCTGTACATGATAATTTTAATCTAGTTCTCATATTATTATAACACACTTCTGATGTACAACAATTTGTTTGTTAACGCATCACCAATCTACGTATAAAGTTAATTAATGAACAAAACAAGTGTGTACAACAGTTGTAAAAACATCTCTGTTCACCTTAAACGTAGCAAACATCAGGCTAATCAAATAATCCCGTCCCTGTATTTCTATTTAATTAAGGATTAAACTCAACAACAAGTCATAATTTTTAAGAAAATACTGCGAAAAACAGTCTATCTTTGACGTTTACAATAATTCTTTTCTGAACTCTACGTGTTTTCAGGCGAAATAACTTAAAGAAAATGATCATTTTCAACAGTATCTGGGATGGCTATAACAATGGATTTTGTTATTAATTGAAGGGAATATTTATTAAATATGAATGACAAATTATTAAGAATTATTTGTAAGATGGTGGTTGAAGGTAGTCAACAGGAAACCCTGGTCCCGTGTTTCATGCTCCTTGGCACTCATCAGCAAGGTCACCTGTAATCTTGAGGGAACTGAAGCTTCCTGACGGATTTGATTCTGTGTCACTCAGTCTCATAGTCAGAGATGTTACCACTTGGCTATCCTGTCGGAATGATATATATTCACAAATGATTGATCAATGTCATGTGTGTCAGGTCCTTTTTAGTGCAGATCAAATGCTATCGACCATCATAGTGCACGCAATATCGTGTCACATAGACTAATGGCCACATTAAAACTTGGTCGATGGCATTCGATTTGCATTAAGAAGGACCTGACACACATGATATTGATCACCACCTAGTGACCAATCAGTTGTAAAAGTTATAAGCGTTTCTATTATTTTCAAAAATAACTATTTCGTATTTATCAGAAGGGTTTTTTTGAAAAGTGCTAGAATATGGTCTTTTGTCTATCTTCAAGAAAATTAAAAGTGGTATAATTTTTCCCATCTACAATTGTAGTATCAAATATTTCGAATGTATGTATAAAACCGTTTTTAGTTATCAAAAAAATATTACAATAACCATTTGCCGTTGTCTGAATAATTACTAAAAACCTGATAGCTAAGTACATGTAGTTTTTAAGCATATCCATGCTATAGTACAGACAGGAGCTCGTCTGGCCAACTTCAGTCAAACGTATGCTTGTGCAATATGAAACGTTCATTTATTTATACAACAATTTTGGCTTTGCTCAAAGTAGTTCGACTGACTTGTCAAAAGTTAGATTTACTAAACGATTGGTGGTTTAAAGAAATGTCTATACTATGACTACAATAAATCATTGATTTCAAGTACAATTCTAGTTGTTAACATCTCTCAAACAGGATCATTGACAAAAACCCACGATGAACTGATGTTCCTTCATAGCTTACACCAGATAAACACATAATAAGTTTTATGAATTTGTTGAATGATAGATTCAGACTTCATTTCTAAGTAATTGCAAATCTTAAGGACGTATTATTTCTGTTTGATGGGTACAAGTGATTTGATTTATACTGAAGTAGTTGTGTGGTGTGTGCTACTGATGTTGACAGATGTAAGTAGTATGTACCATCAATTGAAAGTGGAATACCTGGCGTCAGAAGGTTGAGAAAGTAGAAGAGAAGAGAACGAGAACAGAAGGTGATTGGTAAGGAAACGAAGGAACCATAAAGTCTTTTACAGTTGATGGATAATTTGCAAATGAACTATTTACTGTATGGTTCTCAGATTTTACCAAGATATTATGTAATGTTGAATTGAAATGCATTTGCTTGTCCCCACCTGCGTTTTTCTTCACTACAGTTGAAATATTTATTTTATAGTTTTTGTTGGAAATTTTTCTTAGGTCGTATCATGATAGTGTACCAAAGTTTATTAGAATTCATATAAAGTTAAAACAATAATGAATAACATAAGATTTAACATTTCAATATCGTATACACTGATTACGGTTATAACAGAAAACTGTGGCGTTTGAATTATGTGATTACATATTTCAATAAATAAATGATGGTTAACAGTCATTGAAAATTGAATATGTATAAGCTAAATTTATTTGGTTTAATATATTATCGGAAACTAGAAAAGTATTATGAAATGATGTAAATGAGGAAGAGAAATATTTAAGAAACCAATGTTACGAAAGGTTTCGTTGCTAGGCCAGAGAAATACCTCGATGGGTTTACATTCTTTCATCTGAGTGAAAGAAAATGAGCCAATTAATAATTTCTAATGTCGCGTAGATCCATGGGTTTGATAAGGTCAAAAAATGAGGAATGCAACCTGTAAAGAACAGAAATAATGGGTTACGGTCAATGTTTCCTGAACAAATATACGCACACAGGAATCAGGAAAGTAGTGATATTGACGATTAATAAGAAACCTTTCCTCATAATACTAAAGTTCGACAGAGATCTCTTGTGGAATAGAATAAAACAATGATGACAACATTTCATGT